TATTTATAATAAATGCATAAGTATATGGTGTGATATTTGTGAAAATATCTTTATATTCTACTAAAACATCTAGTGAATGTGGTGATTTACAAACTTCCAAAATAATAATAATAATAATAATAAAGATACTAACAAAATTTAAAAGATCACAAAACAAAAACAAAAAATTTATAAATGTCTACAAGTATCAATAAAAATTTATAATTCTTCAAAATTATAGTGTTCCACAAGTTATATATATGTATTTCATTACTTTGATTAAAGATCAAGCATTGGATTGACAATAATAAGAGATTAAATATATATATATATATATAGAGTGATAGTAGAACAAATGAGTGATCATAGCCTTTCTCGAGATTGCATAACAAATAGTATTATTTTGATGGTGTGAAAGAGAAGGGTTACAACAAACAAAAGAAGATAGTTTGTGTAAAGAATGTGTGTTTGAAAAAAATATACGTGAACGAAATAACAAAAAAAAAAAACAATTAGGTTACCTAAAGTATAAACACCCTAAATATAAACATGAATTAAACAGCGCAATCTAAACGAATAAAAGCGTTACGTACCGAATGATGAAAAAAACACGATTATTTTATTGTATCTTTTAACTCTAATAGACAAACAGGAATATTTTTTCAAAATTCGTATGTACGCGTTTAATTCGCATATCATACGCGAATTTACTAATTAGGCCGATTGCTACTTTATCAAATTTACATTTATATACTACTTTGTTTTAGTTTTACTAATTGACCTCTTAATTCTAATTTATTTCTCTATATATGTTTATAATTTTATTGCTAAATCTTTCATCTTTTAATAATATGTTATCCGCAAATAACATACACCATGAAATATTTTCTTGATCATTTTTCGTTATTTCAAATGTTTTCTTGAATATTTTTTATTATTTTATCATCTTAATGTAAATAGGTGTAGACTCAACATCTCATTTATGTAGTTTCACATTTATAAGGAATTCGCTAGTATCTCAGCATGTAATGTTATTTTATTTGTTGGTAGAGCCCACCAAATTATTTTGCTTGCACTCTATATATCCCTTCTCTAAGCACATGAAAATAATATGGAAATCTTTGTTGTTTGCTACGGTATTTTCTCATAAATTATATTATTAAGTATATGACTTTCGTACGTTTAAATTATTCAAATTAGTTATCAGATATTAATATTTTTATTGAGATAAGATTATTGTTTCGGATATCTATTTAATAACACATATATATAAATTCGATTATAAATAATTTGTCAACTTATCGAATTAAATTGAATAAAAAATATATTTGTATCAAATTTGAAACCAGCATGATAAATTATACAGTAATTAATAGTGAATCACTCTATTCTAATTCGATCAAAGGTTGCCATCATCCAAAAGTTATGCATTTATATATTTATCATAAGGCATTTGTTGGGGGGAGAAAATGAAAATAATTAAAAAAAGTGATGCAAAGATATGATGAAACCGACTTTTCTCAATTAAATAACCAGCATTGGTTAAAATAATAATAATAATAATTCATAACCAGCACATGCTTGCAAGTAAAACTAGTCATTACATAAACTAATTGGATAAAATGAAAACCAAACTTGACTAGCAAATAAAACTAGTCATGTGATAAAGTCGGTGGCTTAACGTTTTATTTTTCATTTTGTCGGTCCAATATTGGTTTTCTTTTACGGTATAAGACAATCCAGTATATATTTTTTTTTTTTAATTTTTTTTTTTCCGTTGTAGAAGGTGGTCCAATATTTTGGTGCCAACTACATACTAATAAATTTTTTAAAACAATGATAAAATATTATTTGAGAAAGCCAATGGTGCACTGCACTTGTTGGTGGAGAAGAGCAGGGGTGCACACAAATCCAATCAAATCAAAAATTCAAATCGAATCAGATTGAATCGGACAATTTGGTTCGGTTTGTTAACGGTTTAATTTGATCACGGTTTCAAGTTTGTAAAATTGTAAATATACGATTTAGTCACGATTTGACATTATTTAGGATGGATCTAGACCGAACCGTTTAGTTATATATATATAATATAATATAATATAATCATACAATCTAAATCAAATAAAAGTTTGTAACAAATATCAATCTTATAGTTCACTTTTAATTTTCTTAGATCTTATCAATATATTAGATAATTCTTATTTTTTATTGATTTACAATGCCTAAATTTTGTTGATTTTCTTAATTGTGGCTGAACGATTTTGTTGAATTAGTAATTCTAAATGTTTTACTACCTATGTCCCATTTTAATTATCCTGTTTTGGGAACCGTGACTTACAAAGTCAGTGGGACAGAGGGAGTATGTTGTTAGCAACTCTGAATTTATTCGCTTTAGTTCTAGAAGTAACAGAGAAGACTGAATTAAAAGTTCAGAATATATTAGCAGTTCTAAATGTGTTGGTTACCTTGGTTTATTGTTATGCATTTGGATTTTGAAATATAAATACTTTTGTAGTAGGGAAAAAAGAAGGAAAAAACAGAAGAAAAAAAAAAAAAAAAAAAGAAAAGGAAAAAACAGGGAAAAAAAAAACCGTGGAACAGAACCGAACTAAACCAATTTCTCACGGTTTGGTTTAGTTCCTTTGGTCAAATGGTTCAATTTGATTATAAATTTTTCTGGAACTGTTAGGATCGATTTGGTTCCAAAACACTCTCAAACTGGTCCAAATCAAACTGTGTGCACCCTTAGAGAAGAGATATTTATGGAATTTATTTTATTTATGTGTTAATATGGTGAGTAATTGGTGATAGTTTTCTTAAATCGTTGTCCTTAATTAGTATCACTGATTTTCCTTAATTGAGAAATTTTCTTAATTGGAACAATATTGTAACTATTTATGGTGCTGTTGTGATCTATATTGAAACAAACTGAACAAGAAGAATTCTCCTCTCTTTTCTTGTGGACCTAAGCCTTTAGTGACTAAACCTGTTTGTTCTTTTATTTTCTATTTTGTCTTGTATTATTCTTCATCGTATCAGCAGGTTTTGTCTGTAACTAGGAATCGCGCAAGGTCGGCGCGGTTGGAACCGTATTGTTTGTGGCTAGCTAACTATCTTACGAGCTATATTCGAGACTGTTTGAGGAGTCAAAATCGACTTTGAAGTCAGTGGTTTGGTTTTTTTTGTCTAGTTAATATCGGAGTAAGTTTTTATGTTATTTTCTGATTGATTTCTTTTGTGTTCTGATTGTTTATTCACCCTTAATCAATGGGAGAATTAGACGCTAATCGTGGTTGGAGGCTTTCATTAGTCCTCTTAAATGGTATTAATTATGTATCTTAATCGAGGGCTGTAACCTTGAAGAAAAAATTAGGTTTCATCAGTGGAATGAAAATTTGTCCTAAAAGTACTAATGAAGGATATGAAGATTGGATCTCCAATCAACTTGTTAGATCTTGAATACTTAATTCGATTGAACCCATATTGTTGGAATATTTACTTTTTCAGACTCAACAAAGGACTTATGGAGTTCGATGGCATATTTATACTACAATCAATATTTTGCCGCTCGCAATTTTGAACTAAAACTTGAGATTAGACAAGCTCCACAAGGTGAAAGTATATTCAGTGAACATTCGGGAGTCCGAAAAGAATGTGGGATGAATTAAAAATGTATCGCCCACATACTGCATAGGAGAAAACTGTCTTATTTTAGATGTTAATGTTTGAAAGTCAAATTTTGTAAGAGATTGATTTTTTATATTTTTTTATTAAATTGTTGTAAGGAATGAATTTTAAAATTTATCTTTTGTTTTGAATTGATGAGGTCCATAATGATGTTTATTTTTTTTCAAGATAATTATGAGTAAATTAGAAATATAACAAAATATAAGTACCTTATGATTTGAAATGGGACAACTAAAAATAAAATAAAAATTAACAACTAGGAGGAAATACATAAGTAACATAAATAACCCTAAAATAAAATTATTTGTTTTATATATAATTATATTAATATTCATAACAGTGCAGCCCAACAAGCATCCTGGTGACGTGGAGAAGCCATCCATGTTGACGAAGAAAAATATGAAAAATGGTTTCGTCACTAATGAAGGCGTGGAGGTTAAATGCTTTTTAGGTCAAAACATTGACGTATCAACACGTCTTCATGGAAATTTCCAATAAGAAGTGATTATTTTTTATAGGAGGATATGTTATTCAATATCTTGAAATATTTAATAATAATTTTTTTTCAAAGTAATATTTAATAATCTTTTTATAAAAAAAAAAAAATTAAAAATGCATAAAACTCTTTTTCAATTTTATTAAACAATTTATTGGATGCCCTAAAAATATATTTAAAAAACAAAAACAAATTTATTGAAAGTTTTTGAGTTGGATATAGTGATTGTTCTTTATACTCAAAAAGAAGGAGGACTTGTTTTGAAGGTTTTAGAAATATAAAGGGAAATTACATTGACTTTTCCTTGAATTTGGACAAATTACATACGAGTTGATCGTTGAAACTTGTTTATAGGCCGAAAAGTGATTTGTAATGTGAAAAATTAATAATAATCTTATATTATAGTAATATTGTATATTCCAATTTATTGGATGCCCTAAAAATATATTAAAAAATAAAAAAAATAAAAAAAAAAAATTTATTGAAAGTTTTTGAGTTGGATAAAATGATTGTTCTTTGTACTAAAAAAGGAGGACTTGTTTTGAAGGTTTTAGAAATATAAAGGTAAATTATATTAATTTTTTTTAAAATTTAAATAAGTTACGCACAAATTAATCGTTGAAGCATTCTAGACTAAGATAAATGAATAGGTGGATTGATAAATTGGTGTAAAGATAAGTAAGATGGATTGAAATCACGTTGGTCGTAACCCTTGTCGTGTGCCGTGTGGGCAACCATCTGGCAGAGTACCCCATAAGCGAATTACTAAAATAATTTTCTTCAAATTGAGTTTGAGTGGGTCATACATATACAAAAGGTTATATATATATATATATGTAAGTATATTATGTCTGGCCTCTGCTTCCTCTTCTTCTTCTTCTTCTGTTATATTAGGCGATAGTTTTAATAACTATCGTGTCGACAGTTTGAAGGATAATACGCTAGAGAGAGAAATTGAAACGAACTAGAGTGAGGGAGGGAGGGAGTTTTAGAGAGAGAAAGTGGTGGTTTCTGGTTTGTTTGGTTTTTTGATTGAGAGTAGCAGGAGGTTGTTTGCTTGCTCGGAAGAGGAAGAGGAAGAGGAAGGAAAGAAGGGAATGCAACTGGGAAAGTACGAGATAGGAAGGACTCTGGGCGAAGGAAATTTCGGCAAGGTCAAGTACGCTAAGAACCTCGATTCTGGACAATCATTCGCTGTTAAAATCTTGGAAAAGAACAGAATTCTCAACATCGCCGATCAGGTCACCAGTCTCACCACCTCTCTCTCTCTCTCTCTCTCTCTCTATATATATATATCTATGTAGGTAGGTTTATATATTGATCGGCATTAATCTTCATCTGCATCGAAATTTCCTTCTCAGATCTTCTAATTCTTACCATTAAATTTACCCATAGTAAGTATATGTTTACGTAATTATCGATTTAATTATGGGTTTTCTCTAGGGTTTTTTTTGAGACTTGTTGAAGGTGAATTTGGTAATATATTATTTACCTTTGTTTTTTTTTATTATATTGATTATTTTTGTAGTGCTCCCACCATTTCCTTCTTTTCAGATTAATATGTGTGTGTGTATATATATATATGTAATTTGTATGTTATAGTCCTACCTTGAACTCAGTGAATGTGCAGATTAAGAGAGAGATTGGCACATTGAAGCTCCTCAAACATCCAAACGTCGTCAGATTACATGAGGTACGCAATCCCATTCCCAATTTCAATTTTGAATCCTCTCTCTCTCTCTCTCTCTTCATTTCTACCTCGAATTTCCGTGTATATGGGTCTCCGCTTATCTGGTTTAATTAATTTTTGTTTTGTTTTTCCTCGCAATTTGTGGGGTTATCATTTTTCAATCAGGAAGTCATAATTTTAAAATGAATAATTTATATATATATATATATAACATAAGATGATAAAAAGTGATAGCAACGGATTATATATACACTTTTTATCATCTTATGTGATTCATATCATCATTATATGTATCGTATAAGTTTAAAAATATTTTCCTTCCATATTACTCATCCGGATTTCTTGCCTATAACTTTTAACAATCATTGCCAGTATGTGTTGGCATTAATTTTTTTTCTTTATAAAAAAATGTTAATATTATACATATTTAAATACATATACGAGGTAGAAAACATTAGAATAAGATTAACCCAAAAATTATTCATGAGTTTTTAGAACATAATTTTTTGATATATATTAGGACATGCATCTGATATTCTTTTATCAACTTGAGCAAATCAAATCATGGGTGTGAATTGACCAACAATTTTTTTTTTCTTTCTGTTTTTTTTTTTTTTTTTGGGTTAAAATGCTTTTATAAGTTAATTAATTTTATACTCAGAAACAAGACAAATAGGAGGACCTTACGATAAAACTTTAAAACAATGCCCTATTTTATCACCTAACGTAGACTTGCTAATGACAGCATTCTTAGCTTTGAATTACACCGACTAGAATATATATATTCAAGAGGTGACTGGCCAGTCATGGTGAAATTACATATTAACCCCACTCTATGGGATTGGCCTAGAACCAATAAGAAATTAAAAAGGCCTAGGCCTGACCCAACTACTACAGCTCTGGGCTTGAGCTATATGCTACTAGTATAATTTATGAACCAAAATGCAAAAATGTTTGCATTATGGAAATCCCTCGGATAGGCTCCCCGGTTAGATTATCAGGTCGTGAGTTTGTTGCTTTCCGTTAGGATTACAAAAATAATATTAAATATTTATCCACTCAAATTACTCGAGAATATGCTTTCTTGATGTTTTTCTAGTATAAACACATTAACAACCTTTATGGCTTATGTGAATAGGGGTGAGGGAACCAATAGGATCTGCAATATTAATTATATTGACCCATGGTGTTAAAATGAAGTTGTAATGAAATTCTTCTACAAGGCCCCATCTGCTCATGCAAAATACACTCCATTTCCTAAACACGAAAGCCACTATAGTTTTTTTCTTCGTTGCATTGGTGCGGTAGTTTTATGCAAAAATGAAAATATGTATAAGTTGAATATTGTTAGTATGTGTTGACACTGTTCTGATTATGCTTTCCTTTGTTAATGTTGAATAAGCAGGTATTGGCAAGCAAAACCAAGATTTACATGGTCCTAGAATATGTAACTGGCGGTGAACTGTTTGACCGAATTGTAAGGAGTTCTTCCAATTGTATAAAAATACTTCCAATGATAAATCTTGGATATGACATTTTTATTCTGCTCATGTTTTATAGGCATCCAAAGGAAAACTCTCTGAGGCTCGATGCAGGAAGCTCTTCCAACAGTTAATTGATGGACTTAGTTACTGCCACAACAAAGGCGTTTATCACCGGGATCTTAAGGTTTGCTTCTGGCCTGACCTTAAGAGCATAATATGATAATCCAAGAGTTAAAAACAACCAATTTATTTTGTTTTTTTTTTTTTAATTCTAATTCTTCTGTGTATTTCTAATGCAGCTGGAGAACATACTTGTTGATGCAAAAGGAAACATAAAGATTTCTGATTTTGGCCTCAGTGCATTACCCCAGCATTTTAGGGTATGATTCCAATAAATCAACCACTTCATGATGGCAACTTATTCTTCTGATTTTGGCCTCAGTGCATTACCTTGATTTCTTAAAATTAGGATGATGGGTTACTGCATACCACCTGTGGAAGTCCAAATTATGTTGCTCCTGAGATTCTTAATAATAGGGGATATGATGGTGCCACCTCAGATACCTGGTCGTGTGGTGTCATCTTATATGTAACTCTCACAGGATATCTACCATTTGATGATAGAAATCTTGCAGTTCTCTATCAAAAGGTACATTAATAAAGCTCTTATATATATATATATATATATATATATATATATATATGTGCGTCTGTGTGTTTTTTCTACTTATATATACGACGCATTTTTATGACTTGGAATTTCATGAACTTTCAGTCTCTAACCCTCTCGAGGCATTTCAGATTTTCAAGGGGGATGTTCTGATACCAAAATGGCTAACCCCAGGAGCACAAAACTTAATAAGGAGAATTCTTGATCCCAACCCTGTTACAAGGATAACAATGGCAGAGATCAAAGTAGATGAATGGTTCAAGCAAGACTATACTTATGCGGACCCTGATGACGAAGAAGATATATTCATAGATGATGAAGTTTTATCAATACATGATATGGTATGAACTTGGATAGCTTAGTTGTTTTTGTCCCTTGCTGGTTAATGATTTCGTGCCAAAGCTGATGCAATTTAATTCTCTGTTGTAGACATCAGAAGCAGAAAAAAATTCAAAATCACCTACGCTCATCAATGCCTTCCAGCTGATTGGAATGTCTTCATTCCTAGATCTGTCTGGTTTCTTTGAGAAAGAGGTAAAAACCAAAGTAAAAAAATAAATATATTTCTAATATTTTATTTTTTCTGCATAATTTTTGTTGTTCAATAGTGAAGTTTACAAATTCTATAAGCAGTTTGATTGTGAAGTTTGCGCATTTGTGTGTTATTTTAGGATATTTCGGAGAGGAAGATCAGATTTACATCCAACCATTCTCCAAAAGAATTGCTTAAGAGGATTGAGGATACTGTTACTCAGATGGGATTTCAAGTTCAGAGGAAAAATGGAAGGGTTAGTTCAATGAAAGCTTTGAGCTTGCACAGATCAAGGCATTTATTTATTTATTTTATATACAGAAGAACACTGGTTAAGAAATTGGTCATTCCCTCCACAAGCCAGTGTTTTGATCACAAAATCTGCTCTTCACAAACCCATTTTATAAAAAATAAAATAAATTGAAATGAAATGATTTACGGGTTTTATCAATGAGCTTTTTCCATCAAGAAAATGATGCCAATAATTAAGGCCATGGTACTAAAAATATGACATTTGTGTCGATCTTTTCAGCTTAAGGTGATGAAAGAGCACAAAGGTCAGAAAAGCCAGGGGACTCTTTCTGTTGCAGCAGAAGTAAGCAATTTCTAAAATTGGGACAATTTTTTTTTTGAAAGTTAAAATTGGGACAAGGTGTTATAGAAGAACTATATATACGCACACGACACACACGCATAATATATACTTCATTGCATACCGATCGCCAATCATCTAAACCTTCTAAATTGTATTTCTAATTGTTATATGGTTAATTGTGGTAGGTGTTTGAGATAAGCAAATCCTTGTATGTAGTTGAATTAAGAAAATCCTATGGAGATTCTACGGTGTATAGACAGGTTCTCTCTTTCTTCCATTCTCTCTCTTCCTCTCTCTCGGCGCAGAGCCCCAACATATATTACTAACATATATATACAACTATATTGTATCTGCAGTTGTGTACAAAGCTAGCAAATGACCTGGGTGTCTCAACAAGTCAAGAACAGCTGCTGACCATGAAAGCTTGAGTATCCAAAGACAGTTAGATTAGAAACAGCAACATCAATATGCCTAGTATAGAATCTATATAAAGATCCATAGGAAGAAATTTATTTGCTTTTGTTCGCGCGTTTTTTGGCTTCACACCAGTCAATGGAGTTTGTGGGCGTGCCATAGTATGTATATACTCAAAAATATGATTGAACACCAACTATCCCTTTTGGTTAGTGGTCGACTTCAGGCGAATGTGTGGGAAAGAGAATATCACAGCGAGATTCTTTTTCTGCCTTGTTTGCAAGGACTTTTATAATAGTGTTAAAAGAATAAAAATGCAATTTAAAATAAAGTAATTTAAATGAACTGACTGAATTTAAATTGATTTTAAAGGAAGACGGTTGGATGGAAATAGACTTTAAAAGAATTGGCCGAATTGAAATTGCATGGAAAGTAAAGATGTAGTGAAGTAAATTGGCTGAATTTAAATGACAAAAATCTAATCAAAGATTGTCATTGAATTCAATTGAATAAAACAATTATTGATAATGTAAATAGCATAATTAAAGCATTGCAAAAAGAAGAATATGTTAAGAAATTTGTCATTTGGACGAATGAATTTTGATTCATGTTTTGTGGGTGGTGTTGTACGAATTGGAATGAAATTACAATACTTCTATTTATAGAAATCCTATCTAACTAATTTATCTTTATTCCTTACTAAAAAATCTCTACTGCCTTGATTCTTTCTCTTCCTAATTTAAATAGGTCAAAACCCATGAATATTCTGCTGCCTTTTATCTCTTGCTTCAGTAGGAAACCTTTGATGAAGAAACCTTTCTTGATTTAGTCAGCTCTAGTTGCTAATTTTTAGCAACTTCTTTCCTTTAAGCATGACAGCTGTATCTTTCTTTAAATGGCCGAACAACCACTTATCAATGTTGAATTTATCCATGTCATTACGGCTCCCTTTTGAATATTTCCTTCTAAACTAAATCCCTATTTCATAAGGATTTAGTTGCCTTACCTTAGCCGAATCTCATAGTCTTTCTCTCCCAGTATACAACCCATTTGAATTAAGTCAAACATCAGTTGCTATATTTCAACAACAAACTTATTGATGAGGTGGCTGAGTATCTCCTCCTAAATTATCTCCTAGTGTTTCTCAATTGGCTGATTTTTGTTGAACAACATATATATAACACTTGTCTGCTCTTCACTGGTCCAGGTCATTACTGAGGTGGCTGCCAAGTTTTGGTGCCAACAAATGCCCTATAAATTTCAAAAGCCTTTATCACTTATGACAAGAGGGTTTTTGGAATTCAAATCGACCAAAACTTGAATTTCAAATCTTCGGTAATAACTTTTTTCACCTAACCACCTGCCTTAATGGTTATCATTACCCATTTAAAGCAGCTATTAAACTTATCCAGAAAGAGTATTAAATTTGAAGCTAATATCTAGCTTCGTCTTATCTCTCAAACCTTTAAACCTCTCTTTCTTTCTTCTTTAGTCATTACAAATAGAGATTTTCTTTCCTTCTTATGTTCTTATCAGGCTCATAAGAAAACCAAATCAACCGATTCAACTCATTCCTCAATCATCTGACCCTTCGTCCCATGGCAGTATCATTGAAAAATCCCTAAAAACTTTCTCAGCCTACAAATATTGCCTCAATACTCTCATCGATCTTCCCACTGATTTCAAAGGTTTGGGTCCTACTTTCCTTGATGAAGCTCCAACATTTATCTTACCCTTCTACCCTCAGCCATGTTCTCCCATATCTACAAAACTTCCCTTCTAATGAAATTGGCAGGGGTTGCTCTAGATTGGTTGTGGCTAATTGGGAATGAAAATTTTTAAAGAGCTTAGTTCTTGATCTTGGTTAAAGAAAGTCAATTCACCACAGAAATATGGAGGTCATTAAATAATAAAGGTTAATTTGTAGGTTGACAACTCACCATGTTAAAGAAGCGAATGGGGGAACATATGGACATGAAAAAGAATGATCATGAAACAACTTTAAATAAAAACATGGAGGGTATGAGAGAGAAACTGGAAAAGATAGGGGAAATCAATAAATAGATGATGATCCTGGTGAAGATGGAATCTTTGAAAGATAATGAGAGTTTTGAGATTAACTTATTCAAGTTTCTTTTATGTCCCGAAACATAATTATAATTGTTTAAGACTCAAAAGGGTAAAACGGTCATTTACCAAGGTCATCCAATAATCATGATGAAGTCTGGGGGTAATAGGGTCATTCCCGTGGTTTAAAAAGAATATTTTGATATTTTGGAATAAGAGCTTAAAGGGCATTTTGTACCTTAACAATAGTTTTTGATGCATTCGTATCTTAGTTTTCCTTAACATATTTCTTGCAAAAATTCTCATAACCGCCTCATCAATTGCTTGATGATGATGTCTAGATCAGTAATACAAGAAATGGTAGTCTGAACGAGAAATTGATGGTCGATGAGGATCTTGAGGATGTTTTTTAGTGCCACAAAAAACATGTGTCCTTTTTCCTTCACAATATCATCAAATTAAACCACCAAAAATCAACTTTCTTCTAACTCCTACCAAAAGCACATCTCAAAACACTAGTCCAACTTTTGTTGTATGCAATAGTCACCTGACAAATGAGAAAATCAAGTTAAATAAGCATATGTCCATTGTTGACCCCTCATATATTAATCAGTTAGCCAAATTTTCATTTTAGGACATGGCATATTCTCAATGATGCTTTGATCAATTTGGTAGATCGAGTTGGAGCTGTGAAAGGACAAACGTGAAAAACTTATGGTATTTATGATGCCATCCACTGAGCAAAACAAATATTGCTTACGACAAAGCCCTAATTATAGTGGCCGTATTCAATTGGTTGACCATAACCAACTCCTTGCATTTGAAATGTGGCATGATGGCTCCCACCATTCAAGACATATGTTTTTTAATCGGCCTCAAGCCTTTTGAGACTGATGTGAGCAGCTTGTTAGTGAATGAGGATTCTCCTTTCATCTTTCCTTCTAAATAGACTAGAACTAAGTCTTTCGAATCTTCTTATGGTAAGTTTTTAACTTCTACCAAGGACCCTCTTCTTCTTGTTAGTGATGTCGAACACATTGCCTTTTTATTGGCCCGGCTAAATAAATTTCTTTTGTGTGTACTACCCTTTCAAGTTATCAAGGACTTTATTCATGCCGTTGTTGCTCTCTCTAGGGGTAAATTGGTTGCTTTAGCCCTTTGGTCCCTTTTCATTTATATAGGGGTATTTATGACCTGCTCAATTCTAATTTTGGACGCTATGGTGGCCCCATGGTTATTCCAAATATAGCTGCAAGTATATTTTCACGAGCTAGGACCTATGGTGAGACGTTTGGCCAATGACCTTACTTATTTATGTGAGTTATGCATCAGCCCTACCCAAGTCTCACTCATTTGGAGACTATTTTAAGCTTTTCCACACACGTGAATTGAGTTTTTATAGAGTTGGTGTGAGATAATAAGATTGGATTGTAATTGTCCTGGAGTGTTTGAATGGTATGTGGATATTGCCTCGTTGGTCGTACTCTGCCGTGTGGGTAACCATCCGGCAGAGTACTCCATAAGCGAATACTAATAATTTTCATCCTTTTTTGGGTTTGAGTGGGTCATACATAAGTGTGTCACTTCTATACATATACATATATGTACATATATTATATATATACAGATTTATATAACTCGCCTGTGCTTCTTCTTCTTCTTCTGTTATCTCAGGCGATAGTTTCAATACATATATACAGATTTATATGTCTGGCCTCTGCTTCTTCTTCTTCTTCTGTTATCTTAGGCGATAGTTTTAATAACTATCGTGTCAGCAGTTTGAGTTTAAAAGGATAATACACTAATCGTTTTGTTAATTAACTTCCAGCAACACAGACCAAAAGGAGGTGAGAATTTTACACAGAGAAAGTGGCGAATTTTGGTTTGTTTGGTTGTTTGATTGGAGAGGAAGAGGAAGAGAAAGGAAAGAAGAAGAAGACGAAGGAGAAGGGAATGCAACTGGGGAAGTACGTGATCGGAAGGACACTGGGAGAAGGAAATTTCGGAAAGGTCAAGTACGCTAAGAACCTCGATTCTGGACAATCATTCGCTGTTAAAATCTTGGAAAAGAACAGAATTCTTGAACTCAACATCACCGATCAGGTCACCAGTCTCACCATCTCTCTATATATCTATCTATGTATGTGTACGTTTATATATCTTGATCGACATTAATCTTCATCTTCATCTTCATCTTCATCGAAATTTCCTTCTTAGATCTTCTAATTCTTACAAGGGTCATGTGCTGTATAACCCCTCATGTTTGTTAACCACCTCTCTGTAAAAAATAGGTGTGAATTAGCCCCTTGGTTCCTTTACTGGAACCGGAGATGCAAATTACTTTAATACCCCTCTCTCTCTCTCTCTCTCTCCAAAATAGACCCATTTCATATACCCAACTCCGGCGACCCATAATTCCTTTTATCGGAAAAAAAAAAAAAAATGGCACAAACATGTGAGTATTATATCTGTGTATATACACATGAAATGAAATCAATTAATATGTGCGGCGGTAAGTTCATTGCTCGCCGGGAAAGCCAGACCCATTTCACTGCCGGTTAGAAAAATCCCGTACCGTCGTTTCAGTCCACTTCATCTCTGGTTCATAACGCCGTCTTCGCCAAGCACATCCTCTTCTCGCCGGCAGTACAATCCTTGTTCTATCCTTAGCTCGCCGGCAGTACAATACTTGCTTGCTGCTGATCAGAGTCCATTGATATCAATTCAGATGATAAATCAAGACCACTGACCAACGAATAAAAAATTAATAATTTATCAATGTTTTGTTGATGAAAATTTGCAAACCTGCCGGAATTCATGGACCATATATATATAATATGGTGAGGGGCATTTAAGGAAAAAAAAAAGGATAATCTTAGATTTTAAGGTTTTAACGACCATTCTTTAACGGAATTTTGACCGAAGGTGGTTAGGCACAAGTACACCAATATAATATTTATTGAGAATTTATATGCACAAAATCATAAGTTTTGTAGACTTTAACCTTCTTACAATTAAATTTACTTTTTCCTTTTCCACATGTAGTTATTTTTTGGGACTTCTTTGAAGGCGAATTTGCTAATGATTTCCAACTTTAAATAAAGCTGATTGGTAGTAATTTTTTTTGTGCGTATATGTATATGTATATAAGTGTATCTCTTAGTCTTACCTTGAACTCAGTGCATATATTTTGAATGGAGATTGCAGATTACGAGGGAGATTGGCACATTGAGACTCCTCAAACATCCAAACGTCGTCAGATTACATGAGGTACACAATTCCATTCCCAATTTCAACTTTGACCCCCCGGAGTACATTTTATCAATAAAATCAGGAATTCCAATTTCCGTGTATATAGACAGGCCTCCGCTTATCTAGATTAAATTTGTAAGTTTTTGTTTTTGTTTTTGTTGTGGGGTTTTCTATTTTCAATCAGGAAGTCATAATTTTAAAATGAGTAATTGATATATAATTTTAAAATGAGTAATTGATAAATATAATTCCACTTGTATCACTTTTAATCATCCTATCTTGTCTAATTCATACATAATCATTGTATGTATGAAAGTTTTGTAGTATAATTTTTGCTTATTCCGATTTCTTTCCTTCCATTATAACTTTTTGATAAGATGTGCATGTGACAGCATTCTTAGCTTGAATTACACCAACTAGAGTATATTCCAGACGTGATTGGCCAGTCCAGCGACCTAATAGGTGGTGAAATTACATGTTACCCCCACTCCACGTCACACACTCACATGCACGTGTAGGTGGGACCTAGTGGTTGGCCTATAACCAGCAATAAAAAATGGTTCTATCAAATACCCATTCTGTATCTCTCTTTTAATATCTTAGATGTTAGTATATACTTACAGGAAAATTCTTGCGTCCAACGCAGGTTGAATGAAATTTAGTTAATTTAATCATGTGGCCCAATTAAATTATGACACGTGTTTAAAATTAATATAAAATTAAATTGGATGTTGCCCATTAATTTTTTGGTATAACCCGCTCTTAGTTCATTCTCTTGCCTCGCATCTCTCCTCCCCAATTCCGGTGATGGCTTGATGCCATTCTTGTCATCGCTGCTCGTGGCCGGCCGCTGTTTTCATTTACAGCCGTCGTTGAGAACAATCGTCGCTGTCCCGTAGGTTCAGCCTTACTTGCCGATGGCGACCACCCAACATACATGCTAAGGTTTCACGAGCAACTGATTGTTCCTGGGTAGCGAGACGAACTCGAACGTCTTTGAGCTCCGCCGCCAAAGACACTATGTTCCGACGAAAGCTTTGTTTTTTCTCACTCAGATCCTTCGACAACGGATCAATCTCTCTCGCTAAAGATGACGATGACGGCCTCTCTGAACTCGACATCACATCTAATCAAAGTAACCTAAACGCCAATCATTGTGACTCTGTCTTCAATCTTAGTCCGGCGATCTGATTCCGCGTGGATACAGTGTATACAATTTGTTCTGAGTCCTTGCACTCAAAAGGCTATCCACATATCTGCAAGTGAGAAAACGGTAGTAATTTTTTCGTTTTACAGTTGAATTCAAACTTACATAAGCCGATTTGATGTAAATCTCTGTACTTAATAAGCTTAGTTTCTATATTGTCCATGAGAGAGATTTTTTTTTTTTATTTCTTCTGGCACATTGGAGACCATATCTCAACCTCAACATAGAGAGAAACAGAGTTTTAGAGAGAGAAAGGAGTTGAGAGATAACTGAGAAATTCAGTACACAATCAAAGAATGAGATTTAGCACATAACCACAGGAATTCAGTACACAACCACAACCACAGGAATGAGATTCAGTACACAGATAGAGGGGAAATTGGGGATGGTGAGATGCGAGGCAGACAGAGAGAATGAACCAGGGGTGGGTTATACGGGCAATGCTCAATTTAATTTTATATTAATTTTAAACACGTGTCACAATTTAATTGGGTCACGTAGCCAAGTTGAAGTTAATGGGCTTCTAAGAATGCCAAAGAGCACTTGTAGGTGCAAAATTTTAATCAACTAAAATAGTTATAGGAAATAATACAACTCACGCAAAGAAAATAATAAACAGCAATAATTATTCAGAGAAAAGTGTATAATAATAGATGATCTCTATTGGAGGATTAAGTCTCTATTTATATATAAAAAGGTGATGGAATTATAGTAGGACTCGCCTTACTTATCCTTTAATACATTCCATATACAATGCTCTTTCCTATAATATTGTTTCCTTCTATATTTCTTTCCATGCTAGATTTCTCCTTTTGTAGAACTTCCTTATATGAAGGGTCCTTTGTTTAGTAGGACTGGTCCTGTCTTAAAATGAATTTGGGCTGAACGCAACTTGGTCTGGCTGACTTTGTCAATAGGCTGGAAGTTCAATATAGGCGATCTTGGGCTGTTGGTGACTTTATTTGGGCTTGAACCGGGCTGGGCCTTTTATAACCCATAAAGAGGAAATTAAATGCCTACATGGATGACTTTCATTGGAGGGAGAATTTTCCCTCCACACTTTGCCCCCAATCCCTCTTTAATTGGACTACGGCTCCTAATTAAAAGGAAATTGAAGTTGCACGGTTGCCAATTTTACAAAAAAGCAGTTCAAGGAGTGTCTATTGCGATTTTGACCAAAGAGCTTCCTCAAACTTTGATTTCACCTTCACTGTGTTTATTGCTTCGTCGTGCTATGAGTTCCTCATCCACTCAAGATCACATAGAAATTGTAAACTCTGAGTCCACTCCTTCGTCTTCCCCTATCCTCATTAAGGTTCCTCCCCTTAGGGTTTCTGACCCCCCTGAATCGAACGATTCAGTCAGTCAAATGGACGATTCCATACTTCAAGCTGAAGTATCCACTTCCGAGTTAGATAACATTTTCACCAAAGAAGAGAAAAGAATGATTTTGTCTGTACGGCGTCTCAAATTCATCGTTAAGTCTGTAATGGAGGAATTTGAAATCCCTGAAGGGCTAGAAGTTGTTGAATACCCAAGAAAAGGTTGACTTCAATTCAGGCGAGGGCGTCGGGGAGAATGAATTCTTTTATCGGTTGGGCACCTTAATGCTCTTCGATTTCCTCTTCACCCCTTCTATCACTTGGTCTTCAATAAGTTAGGTCTTGCCCCTCTTCAAGTAAACCCTAACTTTCTTCGAATAGTCTCTTCTCTTCTTGTTCACCGAAGGCTAGAGAGTCTTGATTTGACTCTCGCCGACCTATTAATTACCTACACCATTTCTAGGCATAGGATCGAGCCTGGTCGTTTTTATTTCACTTCCTCTCTTCAACAGAGGATATGTACGGACCTCTCTACCTCCGAGAAAAGATGGAAAGAGAGGATGATAATTGTTAAAAGGGAATTGGGTTGTGTCTCAATTGAGCAAACTCCCAATCCCACGCAAATTTGGGAAGTTAGGTATAGAATGCTTTCCCTTCTTTCATGACAAATGCTCTGGTTGTTTCCCATGTCAAGTTTTACTCTTTCGTCACACTTATGGATTTTTTGGTGTTTTTTCAGCAACATTCCCCTCCTCTACAACTAAGAAGAGACTCACTTTCCTCGAAGGACAAGTTTGGAGTAATCCTCTATCTGTTGAGGATTTGCTCTCCTCATCCAACCTTAAGGAAATCGCCACCAGTGCTGCAGCTGCTGATCTCATGGATTTGACACTTCCTTTCTTCGACAGCTTCCCTCTTACTAACGAGGAGAAGAAAAGAGCTGAAGCTCTTAAGAAGAAGGCAGCAGAGGATCAACCCCTTGCTGTTATTCGCTCTACCAAACATGAGAAGGAGGTCAAAGAACCTCCTTTAAAAAAGACAAGACAGAACCCTCCTTCAACTAGTAAGGGCAAGAACGCTTCCATAAGCAAAGGGAAATAAACTGGAGAAGCTAACCCTGAAGAGGAGGCCAGGGCTTATGTCCTAGCAGAGGCTGGAGAGCCTTGGAGACCCATCTTCTCAAGAGCTGATAAATCAGTTCTTCATTCTGGGGACTCGGTAGTTACTGATCCCTCTGTTGCTTTAGCGGTAGCCCGAGGGATGTGGTTGCTCAAAGATGAGGACATCATTAGAAACATGGGGTTGGACCAGCTGCTTCCTTCTGCCCCCGTTCGTGCTATGGAGGTTTGTACTTTCCTTCTGCTTTGATATTTACTTAACTTTCTTTTCATATCATTTACACCATTGTTGTTTGTGCAAAACATGTACCATACTATGGCCTTGTGCGTCACTGCTGAAGCTTAATCGATATATATCCAGAAAATGGAGAAGGAGCTGGAGGTTGCTGGGAAGAAACTCTCTCACGCGCTCTTGGATGTCAAGAGGGCTTATGATGTTAGAGACGTATATAAAGGCCAACTTGTATCTGCTGAGGTTAAGGTGAAAGAGCTAGAAAACCTGTGGTGGAGGGATACAGTTAATACTTGAACAACTGCTAGAAAGCAAATGTAGGATTGCTACTCCTCCCTGGTATGCCTGTCAAGTGCAAAGGCCTTCCGGTTTGGCTTCAATGAGGGCTTAGGCGATAAACAGAAGGACCCTGAGGCTTTTGATGCTGATATGGGGGTGTCCTTCCCTTATGATGAGGGTCCAAAGGCCCAAGAGGCTGAAGTGTTGATCGCTGAGATGGTGAAGTCTCATCAAGGGGATCCTCTAGCGTCAAGCTCTTCAATTCCACCAGCTCCAAGCCCAAACGTATTGGATGCTTTTGACTCTGCTTCTTTTGACCCCAAAAAGAAGTGAACCTATGTATTTGCTTCAGATTTTGTTTGTGCGAATAATGTATGTAATAACTTTGATATTTAATTTCTTAGAATCTGCATATTTTTTAATACTTCAGAATTGCATATCTGTGCTGAGCAGCTTTCATGTCTTTGAGAAAAAATTATTTTCTCTTGGAGCTTCTAACTCCTCATGGTCCGAAGCACTTGAAACTTCTGACCCTTCAGTGTCCGAGGCAAAATAGGGACGGTAGTAAGAAGGGAACTCCTATGACAGTTAAGCTATTAGATAGAGATGGTTGTATCATTTAGCGATTTAAACATCAAGGGAACCTTTCTTGCCGTTGACCTTATGTAGAACAAGTATGTCAATACTTGTTTTTCCTTGTATTATTTCGATATGGGTAAATTACTTACTTGACTTAGTAAGTGTCTTGATTAAATCCATGGGTTTTGAGAATAAAATGTCACAGGATACACCAACCTCTTCTTAGGTTTTGGCTAGCTCATACGGGTTTTGACCCGTATACTTGTTTTTAGACTCTTGGT